TCATTCTCGCGTTATTGCTGAAGCGTTAATTAGTGTATTTTCACGGGTGGGCCTACCAAATGAAATAGTCTCTGACCAAGGATCTAATTTAATTGGACAACTGATGAAACAGTTGTACGAATTATTGGGAATTTCGCGTATTAAAACGTCGGTTTATTATCCAGAGGCTAATGGTTTGGTTGACGGCACTTTAAAACATATGCTTAAGAAATTTGTAGCGAATCAAATTGATAACTGAGATAAGTATTTACCGTATGTATTGTTTGCTTATCGCGAAGTTCCGTGTCAGTCGACTGGGTACTCGCCGTTTGAATTATTACATGGGAGGAGTGTACGTGGGCCCTTCTCACTGATTAAAGAAACTTGGGTTCGCAAAGAATCTTTACCCAAAGACGCGATAAGTTATGTGTTAGAAGCGCGACGACGATTAAGTCAAATGCAAAGTATTGTTCATGAAAATACTAAAAAGAGTCAAGTCAAACAAAAGAAGCTTTATGATCAGAAAAGTTCGCATAGGAAATTTCAGATTGGCGATAAAGTATTGGTATTGTTACGGACGCCTGGGAGTAAACTCGAAAGCAAATGGCAGGGTCCTTACACTGTCACTAACGTTTGTACGAACGGCTTGAATTATGAATTAGATAGAGAAAAAGGCGAAAACAAAAACGGACTTATCACATAAATCTATTAAGGCTTTGGAAAACCAGAGAAGAAATAAGTAGTTTTGCTCCCTCGGGACCTCTTCCTGAACATTTATCGCATGAGCATAGTTTTCCCTCTGTTGAAAAGGAGGAGACGTGGAAAGACGTCGAAATTTCATCGGAATTAAGTGGGGGCACAAACGGCAAAGGTTCGGGAATTACTCAAGGAATTTTCGGACATTTTCTCAAATATTCCGAGTCGGACAAATGTAGCTGTTCATAGTATTGATACAGGTCAAGCTAGTCCAATTCGTTCCGGTCCATATCGGATTCCACAAAGTTTAGTTAATGCGGCGAATAAAGAATTGGATCAGATGTTAGAAATGGGGATAGTTAGACCCTCAACTAGCCCTTGGGCATCGCCTGTAGTAATAGTTCCAAAACCAGATGGAAATATTCGATTTTGTGTCGATTATCGTAAATTAAATCGCGTAACCAAAATGGACGCATTCCCTATGCCACGCAAAGATCAAATGCTCGAAAAGATTGCTAAAGCTAAATTTATTTCTACTATTGATTTAACTAAAGGGTATTGGCAAATTCCTTTAGACGATCAAGCAATTCCCAAGTCAGCATTTATTACCCCCCGATTTAAATTTACCGTTATGCCTTTTGGCATAAAAACGGCACCCGCCACTTTTCAACGAATGATGCGGGATAAAGTATTACAGGACTTGGAATCCTTTGCCGACGCTTATATTGACGATGTAAAGGTAGATACATATACAACTTTTGAAGAACATATGTTACATCTTAGGGAAGTTCTCGAAAGATTACGTAAAGCTAAATTGCGTGCAAAGCCTTCTACATGTAAGATCGCTAAGGCCGTTGTAGATTTTGTTGGTCACCGGGTTGGTAGGGACCCTATAAAACCTCGAGATGCGTTAGTAAGTACCATAGAGAAATTTCCTAGACTTGAAACCAAGAAACAAGTTCGTTCGGGGATGTCTTTGTTAACGATGATAACTTCGACCACATGCAGGGAAGCGTTAGAGGTCACTATTTACAAGAGAAAATTTCTTTCGAAAAGACTTTTCAGAAACACACGGTATCGTAGTGATATTGACTCTTAATGGCTGTTTGTGTTTGGTTTATAAAAGTAAAATAAAATAAAATACGACCCTGTGTGGTAGCTTTATATAAAGATAACAAAAACACCTAAGCGTTAAGCTCTTAGACGTAGATCGTGCTAAATTTTGTAAAACGTTTGAGGAAATAAATGAATTTTAAAACTGAAATCTTGTGCGGACTTTTCGCCTGCAAAGCCCGCGCGACCCTCCCGAGCGACCCTCCCGCGCGATCCGCCAGCCTGCCAGGTGATCTTAATACGCGGAAAAGTACTGGCACTAGTTGTCAAATAGAAATCCATTTTATGATTAAAACAACTGAATATCTCCTGTAATATACTTTATTTCGATTCCATATTTTTGTCAGAGCTATAGTTCTCATAACCAAACATAATTGCAAAATTTCAACTAGTTTCATAAAGAATAACGAAAGATATAATTGACTGAATACATCAAAATGGATTTCTATTCGGACAACCCTTTCTGAGCGCTGATTGGCTAAAATACGAACACGAGATCACCCGGTGATTAGTGTGCAAATATTTTCTACGTTAATATATGCATGCACCCGCAAAGCCACGCGCCTCATTTTAAGGCATACACCTGCGTTATAAATAATCCCTATCTATCCATTGGGATACACTCAGTTATGCAAATTCGTATTGTCTTAATCCCCTTAATTACCTACACACCTCCTAATGACTTAGCAACACATAACAACGCAACATTTGTAAAGTTTAAAACATGTTTAATGATACAAATAACAGACGATAGTGTCAAAAATATTACAACTAAAACTATTTGTTAAACTGTTCTATAAGTTTTTTCTCCATGAGTTCTTGAAAAGCTTTCTTATGATCTGCCAAAAAACTTCTAAAACGTTCACCCGTCGCCTTCACAGAATACATGTAACTTGGTGGGTAAGAGAAAAACGCTTCAGCTACGGACTCGAGTGGGTGTCCTAATCTCCAATGAAACAAATAGTTCAGTATACATTGTAGTTCGTGGTTCTCAGTGTTCTGATGCAGTTCCATCAATGAATCGACAAACGTAGAATCTGGATCTTTTTCCAGTTGCTGTAAATGTTCGAGTACATCTCTATCAACCGCCAGTCTTAGTACCCTCATTGCGTCAGCGAATTCATTCCAAACCATACGCTTACCATTCACTCGTTCGATCGCTTGTAAACCATACATTTCCCATCGTTCGTTTTCGTTCATCATGAGGCAGTCATGTTGTCTTTGACTAGGATGACCGACTTGACAACCATTACAGGATTCCACACAAAGTCTTTCAACTTCTTGTGCGACTGCATTCACAAAAATTCCTTCCAATAAATTGTAAGATGTGGTTTTACCGTGTAGACACGCCATGACTGATGTGGAACAAATACAGACCTATGCCTGCTACAAGACACTTCTCGATTTTATACAGACACTTGTATAAAAGTTCATAGTAAGCCAAGATTAATCCCTCTATTGTATCACACATGTGTGGGACGCTAAAAATGCTTAGTCAGCAAGTTTCAACCAATCTTGTTTAAACTCGCCCGCGTGACGTCATTGCATATAATTATGACGTATGTTAATGATGACGTCATTGCATATAATTATGACGTATGTTAATGAATGACGTCATTACACACCTTCATTCCTCCTCACTCCTCCTCCTCACTCCTCCACCTCACTCCTCTACCGCACTCCACCACCTCCACCACCGCAAAAATCCGGATAGCCTGCTCACAGGCTCTATATATATAGAGCCTGCGACTTTTATTGATATTTTTTCAATACGCCCCCTTTGAGATAATTGAATATCCGGTAAATAGTAGCCAATCAAAGTAAGTTTTGTTAATTAGATTACAAGAGGTTATTAACAACAACAAACAGTTTCTCGCGCAATTTTACGCCTGTATCTTTCACTAGGATTCCAAGGTCTAAACTTTAATCTAAAATAATGCATGGTCGTTTTTTCCCTAAAGTGTTGTAATATTTAAAACATAGTCCCGTTTGTATATTGCTGTCTTGTTCGTATACATTGCCGTTTTAAATTATGTAACTATACTAAATATAACTGTAACTAAATATATAAAATTTTATTCTCTATTAGTTAATGTATTTTATACATTTATATCCAAAATATAACTGTAAGATTTAAGGAAACGTATTTAGGTTTTGAACAAACACTATTTATTAAAAGTGTCGAACAATAGCAGGCTAAAAAACAACATTAATCATTATTGCGTGAAGTCTGTCATTTGCTCAATAATACAATTAACTCAATAGACAATAGACAATTTGAAAACCCGTGGCCGCGGCATCGATTCTGCCGTGTCTAATAACTACACATTTTTTTTAAAAAAGCTCTTGTTGTAATAATATATGTCACTAGTTGAGACTCCCAAAAAGAAAGTCTCAAAGAGAGAGCGGACTTCGGTCAAAGAACACGCAAACGACTATTGCAAAATTTCCAGGTGTAAATTCAAATTGGCCAGGTGTTCTAAGAACGACTTTCCTCGACGGCGTCTGTTTTAATAATTTGCCCATTGTCTTGGATTATTCAAGACCAGATTGTTGAGGCAGAAAGCCTTGGGTTGACTGGGAAGTATTTGGGAGAAATGTTCGGAGGCATTTGACAATCAACTGCTTTATATTAGCTGATTCACTGCCTGTGTCTCAACGAACGTCTCGCTGGGCTAAGTTGTTCAACGTTTGAAAACACACACAAAAGTCTCGAAGATTTCTGCCGCAAGTGATGCAAACGCGGTTAGATACAATTTGAAAGTATCCCTGCTAGCGTGGTATTCTTTCCTATTCGTCATGTTGCCTCAAAAACTCGTTATTTGACGGATTGTCGCTCAAAAAAGCTCAATATATCAGTTTTGGAAACTTCTAGCTTCACTCCTCGCTTGCGAAAAAAACAACGCGCGTGTTAATGCCAGAAATGAGGCTGGACCGAGTATAAACCGAGATCCCCAACTTCCGGTGGAGTCCCCAGGCAAAAACAATCACAGACATGCGCAGAAGGGCTGTAACCTACCTTTAAATGTAGTCGCTGTCATACCAATGTAGGGTTTAGTGTCGTTCGTGTTGTTCGTTGTGACTGTGGCTTTGTAAATAATGTTGTTGGTCACACATTGTTTCGGTAGTGGGCAAGTGTTTTTGTTGTCGCAGTTACAGTTGTCAGTTTCCGTATTCTGTGGTTGGTTGTTCCTAATTATATGTGCGTTGTGTTTGGTGATTATAGACTTAACGTCGTTCATGCAACTATAGCTTATTTTTAAAGTGTTTCTGTTGAAAATGTTGTGTAGTTTGTGCTGTAGTGGAAAGTGTTTGTCAATTAAACTTAAAAATTCCCGTCCTATGTTCGTGTTAAAGGCCCTGTCACACTATTGCGTATCGTACTAGCGTATGCCAGCGTATGAAAAATATCACTCATACGCCGGTATACGCTGACATACGCTAAGGGTACGTTAGGCATAGGTTGCATATACGTTTCAAGCACGGTCGCATACGGTGGCATACGCTGGCATACGGCGAGGCAGAAAATATTTGTTAAGCATGTTCAAAAATTTTGTGCGTATCGGACGTATGCTTTATACGATAAGCGTACTCTAGGCACACGTTGAATACGCTATAGAGGTACGCCAGATGTACAATACTCATACGCTGGCATTTCAAAGGATTTTTGTGCGTATGAAAATTGTTTCATTAATTTTCATACGCTTCTCATACTTTTCTCTCATACGCAACAGTGTGACAGGGCCTTAACACTCTAGGCCGTGAGATGAGGGTCGAAAATATGCTTAGAAAACAGATTCGGTAGCACCCCTCGTGTAACTACATAATTTTTACATGAATGGATAGATTAGAACTTACTCAGTTAGAATCCACTTCCACCCAAGCGAAATAGTTGCACAAATTGAAGTACAACCTCGCCAAAATACAGGCTTCTTCGAATTTTGAAATCTGTGAACCGCAATTGTTGTGTTGCAAATACGCATGCGCTTGACCACAAAACACTTAATGCGCACGCGCAGATTAGAAAAACTGACCTCAATCCAGGACTGGACAAACCTGGACAAGAAAAAAATTATGAAATGTGCGAAAGCATAGCCTGTGCACATCCTGTATTACCCTGTATTACAGGGTAATACAGGATGTGCACAGGCTAGCGAAAGCAGAGCTGAAATAAAACAAGATGACATCAAAGTGTTTTAAAAATATATGATATTTTTATGGTCTGTGCATTTTGTGCATTTTAATGGAGTTTACCAAGCATTCTGAGCAATGTACCGTGTCGAGTCTTCGCCAGGAACACTTCCAAGCCAACATTACAATAATAACTTGTTAAAAATATGTTATTATTTTGCCAGCAATTGCATGACGTTTGCCAGCAAATCTGTTTTTCAGGCTTTAAATATTATTACAATCCTAAAAATTTTATACCACGCATACAGTACCATAATTTCTCTATTAATTTATTAGGGGGGTGGGGGTGGGGGACTGGAGGTGGTATTTCTAATATATACAAAGAGTCTGTATACACGTTTGATTTCCTTAAATATGCAACATCGGGTATATTGCGATTATCAGTGAAATATCATAACACAATACTTTCACCCTTCACGATTTTATACATTAATTGCTTACAGGAGAGTGGGGTAGGGAAAGGGGGGGGGGGGTGCTAAAGAGAGAAATTACGATCTACAATAACGAAGTATTACTCTGTGTTCACAACCGTTTTCTAAATTTTTCCTGTCAATTTTATTAGTCCAGGTTCGTTGTTTATTATTTTCTTTGCGTCTAATCCATTAGTAA